AAGATGAGATCCCAGGGCCGGGGATTTAGCTCAGTGGTTCCGTCACTTGCCTTGCAAGCACAAGGACCCGAGTTCGATCCCCAGTACCAAAAAAATAATAATAATAATAAGATGAGTTCCCAAATGTTGATTCTTTGTGCTAGTTCCCTTGCTACTGAGGTTTTGTTCCTAAAGTCTTTTCCTATGCCGATGTCTTCAAGAGTTCTACCTAACTTATCTTCCAGCAAGTTTAGTGTAAGAAAACAGATCTTAATGGAGCTGAAAATTTCTTATTGCCTAGTGACCTAGTTATCATCACATTATAGCTCAATGCATTACTCATGTGTTTATGGCAATGTTGGCGTAAACAAATCTCTTGTGCTGCCCGTCATATAAAAGTACAGCACACACAATATGTACAATGCAAAATGCTTGATATGATAATAAATGACTGTCTTACTGGTTTATGTATTTACAATGCTATGCTTTTTTATTGCATATTGTTACTTACTAAAAAAAGTTTACTGTGAAAAACTATGCCATGTTACATGGGTAGCAGCTTTACCCATCAGGCGTTTTCTGTATCTCTTGATTGCTCTGAGAAGCCATGTTGAGAGGTGGGCACAATGGCACACACCTGTAATTTCAGGCACTCTGGCAGCTGAGCCAGGATCACTTAAGCCCAAGAGTTTGAGGCCAGCCTGCGCAGTATAGTGAGACCCATCTCAAAAAAAAAAGGAAGCCACATCAAGTGATTGACCTACACCATCTAGGCTACGTAAGCACATGTTATGATGTTCACACAATGATGAAATTCTCTAACTTCACAGGTCTCAGAACTTCTCCCGAGCTGAGGCAACACAGGACTGTATGTAGAAGGCACTTAGAACTTCCCCAGCACACAGATAGCGCGTTGCTCATTACCAATATTGTTAATCATTTCTTATTAATATTTATCCATCAGTTGCTACAAATTCTATATACCCTGCTAGGGGATGGGGTTTCCAGTTTTTACCATCTAGAACCTCCCGGTCTGGTAGGAGAGGAGCACAGAAAAACCAACAGTTGGATGCAGTGTGGTGTTTTACTAATGATTATTAAAAAAAAAAAAACTACTGCTAATCAATGACAACCATTTTTCCTAGTCCTTGTGTGCTATGTATTTTATGTAAGTCAAGTACATAACTTTTCTAGTCCAAATACCTGGTTCCAAATCCCAGCATTATCACTAAATAATTATGTGACCTTGGACATGTGAGTTAACTTTTTTGCCACTTAGTTATCTCATTTTGAAAAGGGACATAAGTTTGAAAAAATATGTAATATGTCACCAGAGTGCCTTGCACATCATAGGTGGTTTATAAATGTCTATTGGCCAGAAAAGTTGAATTAGCATGTAAAGCAGGCTGAGGGTGTACGGAAGGCTGGTACTAGGTGGCTGTTGTCTGTTGGACTGGCTGTTTTGGAAGTTGGAGGGCAGGCAACAGGCTTATCTACGGGGTGTGGCAAGATTGATGCTCAGTGACTTTTCTGCTTGGAAGTTAATTCTGAGTCAGTAATTATAGCTACAAAGACCAGAGGCTAGCCACTCAGATGGAGCTGGCAAGAACCAGGCAGAATGTCCCAAATAAATAGTGCAGGCCCTCCCGGACCAAAGTGGATGATAGGGAGGAGGGTACAGAGAGAAAGATATGTGGTCCAGGAGAAGCTGGATGCTTTGAGCTCTCTCAGGCATTCCCAAGCCTACCTCTCTCACCCCTATGCCATGGCCAGAATGGGTTTTGCTGGCTCCAGACCAGGTCTTCAGGGGTGAGAGAGGACAAGTCACATCATGTTTCTCTTTGTCCCAGTTTCCTTATCTCCAATCGGGAGTGTAATCCTAGTCCTGCTCTTAAGTGGAGGTTGCTGAAAGAATGAAATGTAAAAGAGTCTTGAGAAATCTAAAGTACTACAAAAATGCGCATTATCATTACTGACATCATTACTACTACTACTACTGGTGCTATGATAACTACTAATGACAGCTATTATGTATCTGTCAGGTATACCTTAAGGATCATCACTAATCCCTCCTACACCCTATTAACTAAAATGTGAACAAACTTAGGCCAAACAAGACAGTGCCACCACTAGTCCCTTTATTGTCTCTATGTGAATTGGGGAAAGACACCTTTTCTGGGGCTGGGGATGTAGCACTGCACCTGCCTCACAAGCACAAGGTCCTGAGTTTGATCCCCAGTACCAAAAAAGAAAGAAAAGAAAAGACACCTTTTCTCCTATGCAGATGGAGCTACTCCAGACATATGGTAGGGCCATGGAACACAGGCTGGTTTTTAGTTCCTGCCTATCTTCGACCAAGCAGCCTTTTGTTAGACACCCCTTCAACAACAGTTTGTAGCACTCTATGCAAGGACATCAAGTAGATTGGTTCAATAAAAGGCCACACTAGGACTCAAACACAGGGCCAGTACATTATATAAGACATAGATGCCCAGCAGGGTAGTCAGCTGCCTGGAGCCACTGGCTTCTAAGTAGACCACAAACAGTGGCTGCTTCTCCTACACATTCAGGCCTAGCAGACTGCTGTGGGGATGAACAGGAACAAAGCAGACCAAACTCCACACCTCAGGGAGTGCATACCTCTGTGACAGAACCAAGCAAATCAGGACACAACAGCCCCAGAACTGAGTCAGTGCTCAGGGAGGAACAGAACTGCACAAACCCACCTCTGTTTACACGAATGAACATTCTTGTTGTGCAGCCTGATAAGTCTGTGGCTAAGCCTGCCTAGCTTCCTGTCACAGAGCACCTGGCTTTCAGCTCAGGAAAGATAATCGCTCTGGGAACCAGCTCTGCTCAGGAGACCTGCCATCAGGCTTCCAGTTGAGGGTGAAACCTGCCTCTCAACAGGGCTTCACCTCCTCTCATGTCAGACAAGGGGAAACCCAACCCAAAGGAAAGGGATTGCCAGGCATCTGCAACTCTACATGACCCCCAGGGAGATGAATGAGCCCCAGAATTCCTAGCTCAGAGTACCTCCTGAACAAAAACCTAAAGTATCCTGCTGGCACAGCATAAGACACAGGGCGCTTAGGTTCCAGGTGCATGACAGCTATCATCTGTCAGTTCCGACACCAGCCTGTCCACTTGGGCAGTCAGATGGACAGATCGAACAGCATTGGGGTAGGTGTGGGGGCTGCAGAGGGCAGGAAGAGGGATGGGTCTCAGAGACATCAAAACAAATAGCAAGTGGCCCCAAAGAAGAGGGCAAAGGAGAGCTGAGTGTCCCAGCCAGGATGAAGGAATGGCTGGCCCCTCCCTGTCATCAAAGAGTTTAACAAGGCTTATTAAAAACCCATTTTGGGGTCCTATTGAAAAACTATACCACAAGGGTTTTCTTTTTTCATAAGAATTGCTTCCCAGGGATTACACACATGCGTGTGCATGCACACCCAGAGACTCTCCACAAACCTCACACCCCATCACGTTCCACACAAATCCTGCACATCCTGTATATCACACACACATCAGTACATGTACATCAAAGACAGCTGCCATTCACCACACACACACACACACACACACACACACACGCACTGTAAAATAGAAAAACTAGGGCTTGTCCCAGAGGTTATTCATGCACCCTTTGAAATTCCAGACTTTGAGGAAACCCAAGAGGTCCATCGGCAAGCAGTTGTTCTCCACATAAACAAACACCACAGTCTCTAATCTCTATCAGTCTCCACGTCTTGCCGGAGGCAAGGCAGCTCAATAAAGGCAGAAGCTACCAGCCTGCTTTACGGTCCAGGATCATTAAGCTTTGGTGAAGCAGCAGCCTTCAGCAGGGTCACTGCACAAGAAGGGGGCTGTGTCCCCCAGGCCCATGGCAGATTCTCTGATATGCTAAATCCCAGCCACTTGGAGGAGGCAGCCTTGGTCCCTGGCAGGTTTCCCTGTGGATCTCAGCTTGCCTAGAGCCCATGGCTGCCTTCACTCCCAGGCAGAGAAAGGCACAGGTTTCTGCAACAATCAGCTAGACACAGGAAAAAACCCCTTGCAGGATCCCGCCTCTGTGTGGGCTCCATCCAAATGCCTGTCTCCCCAACGTTACACTCACTGCTGAGGGATAGGATTCAAAAATGCCCACACACATGCTAAAACCATCAGGTGGAACAGTTCACTGCATTTGGAAACAGCAGATTTGGAGTTAGCAGAATTGGAACTCAAACCTAGCCCTGATCCTTAATTATAAGACGACCTTGGCCAAGTCTGAGCTATGGTTCCTCCTCTGTCAAATGGCAATAACTACTTCTTTCTATGTTATAGAGTTGCAGGAAAGATCATAAAAATCCCTCCAAACCACAATCTCCACAACACAATCTCCAAAGCAGATGTAAGAAATTCTTATGAGACAATAATGAGGAGTAGAAGAATCTCATAAATTGGGCTGTGAGCTCCTCAAGGGCAGAGCCTATGGTGTATTTAGTTTGCCATCTCCAGTGCCTAATACACAGCTAGGCTTAGTGCGAGATATTCTGGGGAAAACAGTTTGAAAGAATGAACACAGAGTGAGTAAATCCATGGGTGAAGTTGCTCGGCTGAAGTCAAAGAGCAGGTAGGTCACTGTGAGCCCTGAGCCCAAGACACCTGTCCCCAGTTCAGTGCTCTCTGTTCTAGATGCGCCAGACAGTGGGTCTATTAAAGGACAGTGAGTGTCATACCAGCCCCGTAGCATGGGCCAGGTTTTCATGGGCCCTACCATGCCCATTAAGGAAGACATAATACAGGCTAGGCAATGTGTGGAACAGTCCACAAACTCACTTGTTAGACATTCCAAGTCAAGATTGGGAACAAACAGAAACTACAGTGTAAATAATACCCAATGCCTCAAACTGCCTCATTTTATTTCCTTACTTGAACTGTGCAAAACAGAAAAGTCTGGGGTTGGTGAGTCTGGAGGAGGTCAGGTCATGGGGCTTAAAACTGTGTCCTGTTTCAGGCTCACTTTCTGCATTACTTACCTACTGGCCAAATATCCCCGAGATCACTAGCCTTCTCTGATTCTCAGTTCTTCCATCTGCAAAACAAGAAGACAATCACAATCAATCCCCTGAGTCCTCTGGACTAAAATGCATCACCAGTTTTATACCTTATATTGGCTACCAACTATTTATGATCCTGTGTAACTGAGGAAATTGTTAATGGTCAGGGTTGCAAGGGAACTATTTAGAAAATGAAGTGTGATCATAAAAAATTAAGCATGATTATTAACTGTTATGTGTCAAGCATGGATGCCAACTGTACCCAACTCTCAGTACAGAAAATTCAACCTTCCAATCATTTTGGCATTTATTTTTCATAGATGTCAACATACAAAAAAGCTAGTAAGAATAGTAAGAAGAAAAGAGCAAAGACAAGTGTTATGACCTCAATATACTCACTTTGAACATTTTGGAGTATTTTCCAATTTTTTCCTTTTAAACATCGAGTTTACCATTTTTTTCAGAGCAGGGTACAGCTAGCTATAAAGATATATAAATTCAAAAGTACTTGGCAGATCACGGCTCTCAGTCTCTTATTCTCAGCCTTAGTCCAGGACTGCAGCCCTTGTTACATTATTTCATTCGTCCCCCTACCCCTCCACTTTGAGTTTCATTTATTTTATTTGTCAGTTTCCCCAACTACATTTCAGGCCTATCTGCAGGTCTCTGTTAGGCACAACTGAGTTCAGTGGAGTAAGGAGCAGACAACTTTCGATCCTGGACTGGTCTTTTCCCAGTCTGGGATCTGTTGTCTCATCCAGTAAATAAGGAAATAGGACCAGCCAATCAGAGATATTCCTATTAACTTAAAAACAAGAGGCTAAGGAAAAGAAAAGGGAACTCATATATCTGAGACCCTACTACGTGGCAGCTATTGAGCTGATAGTATCTACAAGTATTATCTCATGATCCTCATAACCGTCCTGGGAGATTTTACAGCTAAGAAAACTAGTTCGCCAAAGCTTGGTGATCCATCAAAAGTCTGCTACAGTAATTTGGGTACCAATTTTTGTTATATCCACGTGTTGCTTCTACTATCTCAATTTTTCCTAATCTATTCACTTTTTTTCTTAGCTTCATTTTTAAAAGATTTTTGAAATATTTTTCTGCAGCTTTTTATTTGTGTCTTTTCTCTGTATGGCCTAGTGAAAGGCAACCTTATGTTAGATAGATTTTATAATTGCTAAAGGAGTTTGTACTTGTGACGATTCTATATAAAAATACCTATAAAGCCACAGGTCTGAGATGGTACATACATATATTCCTAATACTCATTAAAATAAACAACTTTTGAAAGTTAAAATGCCATCCACACACTATCTCAGCTCCCAGCTGAGCCCTTACTGCGCTTTGGGGAGAATGGTTGAAGGTCCCTCACTGTGTTGTGATCTCAGAACCTCAACTGTCATATTTCAAAGCTGAAAAAACAAAAACACCTGACACTTGATTGTACATCAAAGAGTTGCCTGAGGTCACAAAACAAGTAACTGAAGGAACCTGGACTTGCCATCTCTAACCCAGTGCTCCCTATGTCTGCTCCGTTTTCTCCGTGCCTCTCCTCCAACCCCAAATCTGCAATTCTTTGGGATCTGGACACTAATTAGATTCTGTTTCGACATCAGTGTGGAGTTATCCTGTTCTGTTACGTTGTCAGTTTTTCCATAAAGTGAGTAGATCATATCAATACCTATTTAAGTTCTCAAAAGGGCATTTTGGAAAAAAGCTGCAGAATTTCTAAACTCAAGTTTAGAAAAATGTGAACTGAAAGTGATTCTTTATTCAGAGATCCAAGATAGTAACCAAGGAAATAGAAAGGGCTGGAAACATAATACCTAGGTACACCATTGCCACAGCAAATGAGTACAAAGTCCCAACTCTCAGGGAAGAACGAGAAAGTGGCAAAGTGACTGTGCTGGATGCTGATCAAAGCTGTTGTACAGTGGTCTTTCTAAAGCTCCAAGCTTCCACTTCCTGTCCTCTGGTTTAAAATTAATTGGTATGAATTTTTTATGACCAGAGAGCAAACAGGCTGAACAGCCTGTAGAAATGGCTTAAGCTTCCTTCACATATAGTTCTTCATTTCTGCTCTGAATATAAACCACAAAGCTAGCCAGAAACCGGAAACAGAGCCCTGATTACGGATCCCAATCCAATGACACCTCTCCCTTGAATCCTTCTCATGCCAATCTGAATCAGAATCACTCACATCCTTATTATGCAGTCTGCTGCACTGCAGTTAGGTATCATTTTCTCTTTTTAATATTTATCATTTTTTGTGTTTACTCAAATACACTAAATACAACTCACCACTAGCAATATTATTTCAAATATATTTCCCTGAAGATCTTTTATTAGAATCCTCACACACATCCACATAATACACGGATACTTTACAAAATAGGATCACTCTATAATGCTACTTTTAATCAATTTTTTAATTTAGTAAAATAGCATGGTCTTAAATGGTTATATAGATGTAGATACATTTATAATTAGCCCCCCCACTAATGAATGTATAGATTGTTCCCAAGTTTCCGCAAGTATAAAGACTTCAATATTTTGTCTCTATTTCTTGTATGGTTGTTTGACTATGAAGTGTGTTTGAAAAATACAGTGCGTGTTTAAATAAAAAAATTTATTACAGTGATACATTGCCATGAATACCCCTCACAATAATGCCCCTTGCTTTGAACATACATCTCATCATTCTTGCCACTTTCTGAAGCAGTTCTAGAAGTTCTCTTTTGGAGGATCTTTAATTGTGATGTCGTGGTTGCTTTGATGTCCTGAATCGATTCAAAACATTTACCTTTCAAGGTCATTTTGAATTAGGGAAATGGCCAGGAGTCGCACAGTGCTAGACACAATGAGAGAGGTGAATGAGGACACACTATCATGTTTTTATGAGCTTGCCTTTCTGCTGGATGGCACCTGGCAGGAATATTCACCGTATTTTTTTTTTATCACATCTCCTAAAGACATTCATGAAAGAGGATTTGAATTGTTTAAAAAAGTGGCAAGAATGATGGGCTGAATATGTTCAAAGTGAGGAGGAGTATTTTGAGGGGGATTAATGGCAATGTGTCTTTTACGGTAATAAATTTCTTAAAAATTTTAACATTCAACATATATTTTGATCACCTCTTGTATGTACTTAGACTAGATTGCTTAATAGTTAAAAAAATTTATGACTGTCATCCATAAAAGACTTTATATCATTTCTAAATTTCTTCCAGAAGTAATGAGCATTCCAATTCCTCTTTTTTTCATCAATATTAGGCATTAGTGTTTTCTCCCTCTACCTGTATAATAGATAAATAGTGTCTTGTTATTTTAATCTGCATCTCTTAAATATAAACATTTTTTTTTACATTTCCTGGCAATTTCATCTCCTTTTTTGGGAATTCCATGCTCTCTGTCCTTTATCCATTTCTAGGTAGGCTGTAGGTCTTTGCCTTATTATTACTTTTGTAGCTATTTTCCAGCTTGTTCAATCACAGAAAACACACCTCTGTCTGCTAATAAATTTCCCTAGAACCCCGGCCAATCAATTACCAAGTCCTATCAGTCCTACCTCTAAATACACCTTAAGTCACTTGAATTTTCTCCCTATCTAGGTTTACTATGATCATTCAAACCACTACTACCTCACCTGGACTTCTGTAGTACCCTTCTCTCTGGTCTTTCACATCTACTCTTACTCCTCTTGCCACCAGAAGCCACAGGGATGTTTTACAAATGCAAATTGGATCATCTCCCCTACTTAAAATCTTTTGATAGCTTCCTATTCAATTGAAGACAAAACCAAAAACTCTCAGTGTGTCCTTGTACCTTACAGGGGTGCTTCCAGAACCTGGATTCAGTATGGGGGTGTTGCCAATTCATCCAGTTCCCCATAAACTTCTATACATGAGCCACTGTGGCTTCCTTTCAGGTCCTCAAATGGGTCATATTTCCTCCTTGCTCAAGGCCCTGGGTGCTGTTTTCTCTGCTTGGAAAGTTATTTGCTCTCCTCTTTGCCTGGCTAACCCAAGCTTATCCTTCAGTCCTCTTTGCTTAAACACCAGCTCCCCAGAGAAGCCCTGAGCCCCACGCTAAGGAAGCTCCTCTGGCTGTGTATAGGCACCTTCCTTCGGGGACACTCATGACAGTTACAAAGCGCTGCTTGGTTCATTTAATGAGTGCCAGATTGCAATCCCCATGAGGACAGAGCGTCTCTCTTTTCTACCACTGTCTTCTCAGAGCTTATACCACAGTACCCAGCATATAGGATCTGTTCAAGAAATCCTTACTGCTTTCTCAAAGGAAAAGTAAAAATTAAATTACCTACTATTCCAAGGATCAAGCAATCAGCTCTAGGTTTGAATAATAAATTAATATGGATCTTTACACACAAAGCAGATGAGGGGACAAACCAAGCCTGGCTTATGTTTAATAATCACAAAGAACTGTCACATCTCTTTCCATGAACAAAGTGCAAAGCTTTGGCAACCACAAGAACACCAGAGTGGGGGCGTCTTGAATGCAAGATATGGGTCTCCTGCTTTTCTATAGCTCTCATCTCTCTGTTTTCTTTTTATAAACATTCAGTGAATGTCTCTTAAACGAACTTAATTTCAAGTCAAATTGTATAGCAATTGTGTCAAATCCACCACCTTCTCTCCTGTCTAACATTTAAAAATAAATCTGTAGTGCTAGCATTATTGATTTGACAATATTTCCTTCTATAGATCAATATGTGTATTTATGAATATTCTCTTATTTTCCTGAATTAAAAAAGAAAATTAAAAGGTTGATTGTAGGTCAGAGAGACTCAAGTCTCCTCTAGATGCATCTCTGCCTTGCTCCCTGAGTCAACCTTGTGCTCAACACAGGATTCAGTCACTGCACTTGTGAGACTGTATTCAGTCCCCACCCCATAATATACCCTGTGCTCTTTCCTATAGGGTCTCTGGGATGGAAGTCAGAGATCAGGCTGGGATGCAAAGCCACCATCGCCTTAGCTTAATCTGGACTCTTCTCATGCTAGTCCAGG